AAGTTAACACCAAAGCGTAGAATGGAATTGGCGTCTTTTCTCCCTCATTTTGGCGATATTTTGTTATTTAGCTTGGCGCTTTTACATCTTATCGCTTTGGCGGGTTTTCGTCTTTTCGCTTTAGCGGGTTTTCGTCTTTTGGTCTTTATGATTTGTTGCCCTCCGGTTCTGGATATTAAAGAAAAACATACTCCATGCTTACGATTCCCAAATGGTTTAGCTAATGAAATTGAAATTAAAATGCACCAATTTGACTTATGTTTCAGCATTTTGAGGAACATTTTACAGTAGCCATGCTTAACACTTAGTATTTTCTAGTTAAAGAAAAAAGTCAATGTTTGTGTCCATCCTTGTCAGGTCTTACACAGGTAAGTCTAGGACATCACACTGGGCACACCTGTAACATCCTTGTCAGGACTTACACAGGTAAGTCTAGTACATCACACTGGGAACACCTGTAACATCCTTGGCAGGTCTTACACAGGTAAGTCTAGGACATCACACTGGGAACACCTGTAACACCATTGTTAGGTCTTACACAGGTAAGTCTAGGACATCACACTGGGAACACCTGTAACATCCTTGTCAGATCTTACACAGGTAAGTCTAGGACCTCACACTGAGAACACCTGTAACATCCTTGTCAGGTCTTACCCAGGTAAGTCTAGGACACCACCCTGGGAACACCTGTAACATCCTTGTCAGGTCTTACACAGGTAAGTTTAGGACACCACACTGGGAACACCTGTAACATCCTTGTCAGGTCTTCCACAGGTAAGTCTAGGACACCACACTGGGAACACCTGTACCATCCTTGTCAGGTCTTACACAGGTAAGTCTAGTACATCACACTGGGAACACCAGTAACATCCTTGTCAGGTCTTACACAGGTAAGTCTAGGACATCACACTGGGAACACCTGTAACATCCTTGTCAGATCTTACACAGGTAAGTCTAGGACATCACACTGAGAACACCTGTAACATCCTTGTCAGGTCTTACACAGGTAAGTCTAGGACACCACACTGGGAACACCTGTAACATCCTTGTCAGGTCTTACACAGGTAAGTCTATTCTAATATCATGACTGCATTTTTCTCTTTATGCCCAGCATTTGTATATAAATTTTTGGGGTGGGGATTCCAACCGTTTCAAAGTTATGACCCAGGGACTATGTCTCCAAGGGTGGGGCCAGACCCCAGAGCCATCCTGGAAGCATATGTGCATTCTTCACTTCATACTCATCATTGTATATATGGTTATACGGTGAGGATCTCAACCATTTCCAAGTTATACACTTTTTTTGACCAGCCCTACGCCCCCTGGGGGGTCAACCCCACCATTTGTACAATTTCGCTACCAAGGGATGATTCCAGTCAAATATGGTTGATATCCATCTCTTAGTTCCATAGGAGTCGCTTAAAGCAATATGGCCAAATAATCCTTTTTGGCCCTGCACTTCAGTGCCACCGTTTGTACAATTTTGAATCCCCGCCTCCCATAAATGCTACTGACCAAATATGATTGATATCCGTTGCATAGTTCTACAGAAGAAGTCATTTATAGCAATATAGCCAAATTGTCCCCTTTTGGCTCCGTCCCTCAGCCCCCTGGGGGGTCAGTCTCGCCATTTGTAGAATTTTGAATCCCCACCACCTATGGATGCTTCCAGTCAAATTTAGTTAAATTCCAATCAGTGGTTAAGAAGAAGAAGTCGTTTTAAGAAATTGTTGACGTACAGACGATGGACGCCACAGTATGGCATAAGCTCACCTTGGTCCTTCAGACCCGGTGAGCTAAAAAGAATTCAAAGAGCATGTATAGAGTATCATAAATTTATTATTGAAATAAAATGAGACTGATTGATTAGCATATTATGTATGAACAAAGCTCAGTCATATAGAGATAATACAAAAGTTTGTACAAAGTACCATAAAATAGATCGCACTTCTCTCTCGTCACTCCAACAAACCCGCATACTTAGCAGCTCAAAAGCAAGTTAATTTATCTCAATCTCAATTGTCCATCACTGCTTTTATACGAGCTATCTATCCTTTTTGTTTGACTGTTACTTCTAAATATCATTGACACCGTAATCCGTTCTCCTTAACAGTTTTAACGGTGTATTGTATATAAACCAGTGCCTTAATATTTCAAGAATTAATTTCTTTCCAAGCTTTGTACAACATATACAATAAAATGTATAACATTTAAATAAAGACCTGTTAATATACTTACATACACTCTTTCTTGCATTATTTAATAATAATAAAAAAAATAAGAGAAAAACTTGAGAGAGAGAGAAACTAAACCAATTGCTTTTTTCTGTCCTATTCGAAATGGTACTAGGTGTTTTTGTTCTTTCGTTTAATCTCACTTATACATATCTTTTTTTTTACATGTATCCAAATACTCCCTTTACCTTAGCTGTTTTCGGTCATATGACCTTCCCATGTCCATCTTTCAACATGAGTGTCCCTTGGTACATGTAAATTCACTTCGACACTACTATTGGTAAAGACAATATTGGTGGCTAAATTCCTCCCAAACCATGTATCAGTCTGATCTCGATTAATTCGACCATAGGGAAAACCCCTCTGGTAACAATCCAAATATCATTTCTGATGTTTTTGTTTAAACAATATCATACAGAATTTTTTGTTACATAAATACACTGTAACAGTCTCCTTAGAATTCTGATAATTGTATTTTTGACACACTGTGATGCTGATGACGGAGAACACCAGATTTCCATTCCAATCTGTATAACATATACAGTGTAGCAATACAGGTCACAGGGAGACAACTCATCACTATACACATGTACTTTGCATAGATCAAGATTGCACAAACTCAAATATGAACGAAACTTTGATGAACTTTACATGAAACACAAACCTACTGCAGACTCAACTATTACTGATAGGGAAAATGTCTTCAGGTATTAGTGTATTAAATTCTGCCATGCGAAATAAATATCTGTACAACTCTCACGGGGTCTACATTGGAAATTCTTGTTCTGGAAGTAGTACTCTCGCTGCTTGAATCAAAACATTCTAACCTAGCACAAAGATTGGTGTTACTATACTGAGGGTTACAGCAGGTAATAATAATCAACACCTTTGAAACATTTATAACATTGTATACATGATCTATATGTAGCTTTCAGATACTTAACAAAAAGGAATTTTAATTCTGGTATATATTAATTACATCATGAATAAAAGTTAATATCGAAACAAATCACATTAAATGTAGCATATGTTTGACAATGAGCAGATATATATCTGCAAAAATATCCCCTCCATCGCAGATGTGACGAAATATCCTCTCTATCGTAGATTTGGGACAAAATATCCTCTCTAAATATTCTCTCAATTTTTTTGTTTTTCGATAATGGGACAATGACTCTTATAAACAACATTGGGTTTTTTCCTTCTCAATATCATTTCTGTGTTACAGTACCAAGCAGTATCTATAAATAAATCTGTATTTTTGTATGTCTGGTGTACCTAAATAGGGAATATCTACAAGATGTTGACCACAATTGTTTATAATTGTCTAATTTTCTAAAAACGACCACTCAATGTCTATCAAATTTGTTGGTGTGGAGTAAAAAATCATAGCAAAGCTGAGCATTAAACGTTTGATTTTCAAATTCAGCGCCTGTATTCATGAAACTGTTCTCATGCTCAAGCATGAATTCTGTGCTCAAGTAAACCTGTCTTCTACCTCCCTTAAATGAAGTAATATGGTCAAAAAGTCAAGTGTAAACATTGCAACATATTCGGCTTAAAGTCTTTCCAAATTTCATAAATAACATTGACAAAATGTTTTTTTTTAAATTAACTTGTCTTATCCCTAGTACGAAAAATTGGGCTTGAGCACAGAATCTGAGTTTGAGCATGAGAAAGGTTTCATTTATACAGGCCCGTGTGGAGGACAGGAACAAAAGTCTGTCTGATAGGCTTCCTATGTAGTACAACACTTGTATTAGTTATCTGCCAAGGTACTGCTACACAAATCTCTCTGGTGTATATAAATACTTGCAGTACCAAGACCAAGACATCTGAAGAGGGCTATGGTGAAATTTCCACCCCTTTTTCATCCTTTCCACCCACCAAACTTTCTAATCTGAATTTGGGACTAATCAAATTTATAAATGGCTATAATTTTCATCTCTAAATTCAGTAAGATATAATAATTTATAATATCTCCTATGTGTAATATCGCCTATGTGTAATATCGCCTATATAATATTAAACTTGTATGGCAAATACTTCCTTGTTTCAATCCCTTATGTAGACTATAACCACAAAAATGCAATCCTGGAATTTGAATGTGATATATTTTTAATATTTAATAGACACTATAAAGATGTTATAAATACGATATGTTTGGACCTATCTATCACAATATCCTACTAATTAAGAACTCAATCATTATTCATAACCTTTGAAATGCTGGGGTGTCAAATAGGTTCTTTACATTTAAGACATTAGAGCATTTATTTATTTTTATCTAGAATTGGTTAAAAACTCTCTCCTGCAATTTCAAAAAGTCCAGATTTCATTAAAACAAAGAATTAATTTCTTAATCAGAAATAACCAAATTTTAGGACTTAAAGTTTTAACAAAAATATTTAAATCAATATAGTATGGAGGAATGTTCTAGAAAGAAAGTAAAATGAGAGAAATAGGTACAAGGTCTCCATAGGTCTACACACGTACCCAATATCTCTGAGAGATACAAAGTCTCCATATGTCTGCACACGTACCCAATATCTCTGAGATATACAAGGTCTCCTTAGGTCTACACAGGTGCCCCCATAGGTCTACACACGTACCCAATAGCTCTGAGAGATACAAAGTCTCCATATGTCTGCACACGTACCCAATATCTCTGAGAGATGCAAAGTCTCCATAGGTCTACACACTTACCCAATATCTCTGAGATCTACAAGGGCTCCTTAGGTCTACACACGTACCCAATAGCTCTGAGAGATACAAAGTCTCCATATGTCTGCACACGTACCCAATATCTCTGAGATATACAAGGGCTCCATAGGTCTACACACGTACCTAATATCTCTTGAGATATACAAGGTCTCCATAGGTCTACACACGTACCCAATATCTCACTCTCACTCACATAAATCTCCATCGAGATTAAAGCAAGTCCTACAATTCTCGTCATCTCAAACATCATCCGCCATTTGAACATAGCCAATCTCTGCATTGTCCTCTGCTCCTTAGTTTTGCCTGAATGTCTTCCCTCTACAAAGAAGAAAATCCAAATCGTCACACAATTAGAGAAAGTTCAACAAACAAGCCTAACTAGATGAGACATAGAATAATGCACCCACTAGTATACATACTTATGACAATTTTATTTAGTTTTAAAACAATCACTAAACCTGTAAGAAAGTTTAGAAAAAATGATCGGAGACTCGCATAGAAATACCCCCAACCCCCAAAATGAGGTCAGGTGCATCATTTGGCCTTTTTAACCTTGAGGGATTGCCACCAAATTCTGAACATGTGTAGAACTAGGTGTTACCATAAAAAGGTGTAAATATATCAACGAAATCTGTTGAGGAGTTTTATGAAATATCATGAACATAAGACTTTTACAATGAACAAGGAGGCACGGTAGTGGTAGGACGCCGGGCTCGTGACCGAAGGGTTGCGGGTTCGAGTCACGGCACGGCACTATGTTGTATCTTTGAGCAAGATACTTTACTCCGCTTGTCCCAGTTTACTCAGCTGTAAATGAGTACGTGGTTGGGCAGTGCTAGAAATTGTTGAATGCTAGCTGTGAGCGACGAAATGGCAGCAATGGCTGTATGCTCCCCAGGGAGTTGAGAAAGATCTTGGCTGGTTGCAAAGGCCCTATAACCACGGATAATAATTTGTGAACCGCTTTGAGACGACCTACGACTAGGTTGTGATAAAGCGGTATATAAGAACCTCGAACCATCACCAATCAACATACTGACAAAAAAAATACTCCATTAGGTGAGAGCTATGACAAGCAAATATTAACTACTACTGTTGGCTCCAATGGAAGCATATAGAATATAGATCTTAATTTGCAGGGGACCTGAGTACCAGTAGCCATTCGGATTGATATGTCTTGCCTGTGCCCCACTTAGACCATCAATGTACATGTCAAGTTTGGTTGGTGTAGCACTTATTGTTTCAGAGAAACTAACTTAAACGCAAACACTTAACATTGATGTGGATGATGACAATGTCAATGGACCATGAAAGGTAGGCCGCATCCAGCATTTGATGCTTGGGTTGAGACGCACTACCTAAGATGCATCTATGGTCCAAGTTTGGTTGGTCTAGCACTTATACTTTCAGTGAAAACTTGGTCTAGCACTTATACTTTCAGTGAAACTAACTTAAAAGCAAAAAACTTAATGTTGACGCCGCCATCGCCGGAAAAGCAACAGTTTAGTCTCGCTTCCACAGGGGCGTGGCAGCGAGACAAAAACCAATGTGGTTAGGCAAGTGAACCCATACCTTCCAACTCTAATCAGGGTAGCAAATCCCAGCAGTCTTGGTGTAATGCAAGCTAACACTGCACCACCTGACCTCCCATACATTTATAAGCTAAACCTTGGTGTTAGAGACAAATAACATATGTTCCTCTGTAGGGTAGGCAAGTACTAAATAGGGTTTGTGGGAAATCAGAAATACGCACTGATAAAGTTTGTGTAACTTCCAATAAAAAAACAAGTCACATTTACTGTGATATATGGTGTATAGATACATACGTGACTGTCTTTCTTTCTCTATCCTTCAGAGGTTCTGGCCTAGCTCTGTTTAACACCTTGAGGAAGTCTGTCGTCTTAGCCCTCATACGAGAGTGAATGTAGGCCTGCAAATACAAAAGGAATGGATTGTAGATAATTACGGAAACATTCCATATCGTATTAAATTTTCATTACATATGATATGAAAGTAGTCTCTCAGTGTACGTATGAGGTTGGAGTTATGTCCCTTACCTTGAAGCTCTTAGTAGACTCTCAGCGTCTGTATGAGGTTGGAGTTATGTCCCTTAACTTTGAGCACTTAGTAGTCTCTCAGCGTCTGTATGAGATTGGAGTTATGTCCCTTACCTTGAAGCACTCAGTAGTCTCTCAGCGTATGTATGAGGTTGGAGTTATGTCCCTTACCTTGGAGCACTTTATGTGGTAGTGAAGGTAGTCTCTCAGCGTATGTATGAGGTTGATCGTGTTGTCGCGACTATCAGCCTTCGTGTGGCGAGGAAACAGCACTGCAAACGTAGAGAAACGAGTAAAGATTGAATTCAACAGCTTTAACAAGGCCAAGTAAATTTTAATGTTTCCTTTTACTGACTATCAAAGCTATGATAAACAAACAAGTGTTTGGATGTGTACTGGTAGTCCAAAATATACAATCTCTGATCTTTATAAATTTCCCATTTTTTCCAAGTTCTAGGTTTCCCACTACTCCCAGATAATGGCCTACAGCAGTCCTTGATGTACAGATTTCAAGACTTCTAAAATATGTCAAAAACAAGAGCAAAAAATATCGCATAAATCCTATCTGATCATTTATACAATCTCTTGTCTATATAAATTTCCCATTTTTTCCAAGTTCTAGGTTTCCCACTACTCCCAGATAATAGCCTACAGCAGTCCTTGATGTACAGATTTCAAGACTTCTAAAATATGTCAAAAACAAAAGAGAAGAAAATATATAGCATAAATCCTATCTGATCAAATGTCACATTTAATAAAAAGATCAAAAGTGATCAAAAAATGTGTTCAATGAATTCGCCGTTGCTTACCAAATGTGATGTAGCCAATGTTGTCCCCGGTGCGTGCCTGGGTTCCTTGGAGTTCTGTGGGAGGCTCTCGGTGTGTGAACAACACCTGGGGTGCCTGTTGGTATTTCCTCCGTACCTCTTTGAATTCCTATACACAATGGTTAATAACTCATTCCTTGTCAAAGATATACACTAAGTTGTTATACAACTCACTTAATTTAGAAAAATCCTTCAAAATTTCTATAAATAGCCTGCTGATCTGTTTATACAAGGTTTATATATTAACAGTACTTCAATCTTAATTGCTCATCCATAAAAAACTTCCTAAAATCTACTTGTAAAAATGACACATCCTGATTTTTATTCATTTTCCAACACCTTTTGTATCTGAACATTAAATTTAGACCAATGTCGAGGAAGGGCCCTGCCAAGAAGCTACTGCACAGAAGGTGCCGAATATGCTTGAATATTTTTCTGAAGTAAATATACTGAAGGTTTAAACTCCCAAGATCTTCCACAAAGCTCAATATCAATATGAACAATAACAATTATGATATAATTATAAATCAATATTTATTTATCAAACCCAGGCGGGAGGGACTGTGGTAATGAGTACACAGGCAAAAATAAGTCTCATGAAAATCCAGTAATTCCTTCAAAAGGTATCACAAAGGAATCAGCCAATCAGAACGTGAAGTAGGTACAAACGTAAGGAAAATATCCAGACACCACATTTTAATTACTTTTTGCAGTAGTTAGACAATTAAGAAACTTGAGTTTGTCCTATTAAATGGTATTTGTATGAAGCTGTTATTATACTTACTTGCATAAATACTTTGCCTATTATTATATCAGTATCATCTTTAAAAATTGTACTAAATATCACGGTGACTCTGTCTTTTTGCGACTCCACGTACCTGGAACAGACAAGTTATATTCATAAAACATATCCTTCCTAAAAATTTAAATATAAATACATTTGGAGAACATGCTAAAATGTTGATGTGTATTCAATTTCTCTTGAAAAAAAAATTGCACCTGGAAAATTAGGGAATTTTGAAAGGAACTGAATATCCTGATTAAGACGGGTGTGACTCCTGGTTTTCTTGGCATATTTTAAAACAAAGTATGGATCTTGCTTCTGTACGCCCGTAAAATGGTATTTTAGTGTCTTGTACGCCTGTAACTTTTAAGAATACGGGCGGAGTATGCCAGGAAACTTTATATGGGTCTCCATGGATTACATATGTCTTCATTCTCAAGTCCAAATTTGAAACTCAACTTCCAGTGCCAGACATAAATGTGATACACATATTACAATTTTATATCCACAGGCATGCAGGTTTTGCAAGTACAGACATATCTTTTTCATTTAGAAGTTAATTTTGGATTCAAGTTTAAGACTATTTTTAATATCATACTTTCCCAACCCTGGGGCCAAGTGCAATATCAATATTGTGATGGTCGACAGAATTAAAATAGCAAACATGACGTTGATATTGATGTCACACTGAAGTCAAGATGGCTACAATAAGATTTATTATAAGAACTTAAAAGTGATAATACTTAAAAAATTGACCTCAGCCAGGGTAATTGAACTTTCAGTGTACGCTGACTTTGCTGATACCTGTATTTTTGTTATTTGTGAATGGACCTACTTGTCTTTAAGAAGTACAATCAATCATTAGTCAATCACAGTTGAAACATTTGAGGTGACACAAAGATTCACCTTCATATTGAATCAAGTCAAGTGTTCCAGTCCCTGTTATTAAACTCATTCACCCCTGAAGTTTCATAATGAACTATTCTAACCTTTGAATTGGAAGAGTTAAAATGCGTCTTCAGGGGTGAATGAGTTAACATAGTGCTACATAGTTTAGATTCTTACATGGTTTCATCATCCCTGTACGGTATCACAGCTCGCTTGTTTCCGGTCTGTCCCTTCTGTTGGAAATCAAAATATTTTTCAAACACAGAGGCAAAACAGTTTCTCTTGAGAAGTCCAGCTTTCCGTACAGCTTCTTCATGGTCATCGGGCAGCTTCTCAAGGTCAAACACAATGGACACATCGTACCCTGTTGAGAGAAGTGATGACAATCAGACAACAATTTACCACATATTGTGGAGCAAAGACAATATAATCCCCTACATACAGCTTGAGTGGCTGGAATTTGAAAAGGCTGTGTTAGCAGGCTAACGTTGTATAGGAAACGATCTGTTTCCTACCAGGTAGGAGGTGGAGAACTTCGACAGGAATTTAATCGATTTCTTGGTTACCCTTATATAAAACTTATATGATGTGCCTGTTGTATGCAGCATTAGATTCATTATGACTTTGGCAATCTCCTTGATGACACTGGGTTTACCCAGCTAGTCACTTACCCCACTGACAAGACACTTGACCTTATATTACAAACTAAGTACAAAGGATCGAGGCGATTCCAGGCATATCAGATCATGATGCTGTTATTCTTAAGCATTTGCCATGTTCCTCAGAAAATTATCCGAAAACCTCGCGTAGAGATGGTTCGGCGCAGGGCTGCCCTTTTTGTTACCAACAGACCATGTTCTTAAATACACGTTTTGTAAATTAACCGTGGATTACTCGACATTGCTCAAATACCTCGTATTCCTGGACCTTAGATTTATCCCTGACCATTCAAAACCTCAGTATTTAACCTAGCCATTCGTCGAACAGGTAATCATCCCTGTGTCGCACTGCATGCCATGGACATGCCTCGATGCACAGACTGCTGTTCATGTCATGGTCTTGGTACTTTGTACGTTAACATCTGACACACCGGTTACAACTGTTTAAACATTATATAGATCCACTGTTTTTACCCAATCTATGATAATTAAGTACATACCGTCTTCTGATGGCACTAGCTGGGACCCATACTCTCGTTTTATAAGCTGAAAATAGAAATCACATGTGGGTGAAAGAGGCACTGGGTCCATAAAATATACGGCGTGACGCCAAGATACCCTTAACATGCTGGGTCAAGGTCAACAGAGATCAGTACATGGTCAATGACAAACCAGTGGTTGGTTTGAGATTATCAGGTATGGAACTTTAGCATTACTTATCACTGATGGCAATGATAAACAGAAATTTCAGTTTTCTTGACAGTTTGCAACTTCAAAATTTATATTAAATTCTTTCTAAATTTTTGAGTCAAAACATTTGTCAAATAGACCTGTCCGTTAAAGTTATTAAGGTTTGTAAACTTTTAATAGTATAAAACATATCAACAATTTATACATTATGTTTCAGATAGCAAGTAACTAGAAATAACACAAACACATGAAAATAAACCTAGGCCAGTTCACTTGAAAATAAGAAACTGTGCCAGAATAACAGACCTATACCAGACCCCCTACTCAATAGTGCAGCGGACGTAAAACCAATCAAACAATGTTGTGTCTACAAACAGACAACTCAATTCTAATACAACAATACATTATATGATGCCTGTTTCCAGGTATAATCAATACAGTTTTATGAAGGGGCGGCCCTAATACTGAATGTGAACTATTAGCTACAGGTAGCTTAGTGTAAGTTCGAATTTCAGTAACATGACCTACCTCATCAGCTCCATGCTCCTGAAGCTCCTTGTAGAACTTTAACGATATGCTGACCTGCAAATTAGTATTGACATATGATAAAAATAGCAACTTCATTATAATATTATAATTAATATTAATGACTGTATAATAACAGATGATATATTATGTGAAGCAAGGTGCTTATGACTTTATCAATAGTATTTGATATATCATTGTCAAGTAAAACCAAGTAATGAATACTGGTAGATAACGTTATATAGTGGTGTCTATTGGCAATGGAACTCTCATGCACATCAGAACAAGCAATATTTCAGGGGTTTTGAGACACTTTTTGTGATGCAAAAACAATAGCACAACTTCAATGTTTCTTTTTACTACACACTATATATTCTTTACTTTGATTTGACCAAAATTTGTATCGAGAGTTTCCTTTATTTACAATATTGGGCCCAGCCCCTCTATTTATACAAAATTAAGTTCCCTTTGCCTACAAATGATCTGTAACCAATTCGGTGATAATCCCTCTATTCACACAGAAGGAGAAACCTTTTAAAAGAATTTGGATTAACCTATATTTCCCCTATTGGACCCCGGCCCTCTGCCCCCAGGAGGCCACATACTCTGTTTATAGAAAATTGAAACCTCTTCAACCAAATATGCTCTAGAACAAGTTTGGTTCTAATCATTTCATTGGTACAAGAGGAGGAGGATTTTGCCATTAACCTCTATTTCCCCTATTGGGCCCAACCCCTCTGTCCTAAAGGGGGGCATAGTCTCTGTTTATACCAAATTGTGTATTTTTTCTCAAGCATGCTTTACACCACATTTAGGTTAAATTCCTTCATTTGTACAGAAGGAGAAACATTTTACTCTATTTTCCCTATTTGGCCAGCACCTCTGATCCAAGTGGGGCCACATCCACTATTTATAGAACAAATCTGAATTCCTTTTGCCCAAATTAAAGATGCTCAAGAACAAGATTGGTTCAAGTCCTTGCTTTAATGCTTAGGTAGAAGGATTTTAAATATTTTCCTCTATTTCCCCTATTGAGCTTCATCCTTCTGCCACAAATGGGATGCCACAGCCTACAATATCGAGTCTTCTTTCCCTAAAGATACCCTAGAGACCACATCTGGTTTAAATACCTTCATTTCTACAGAAGGAGAACAAAATTCCTTTGACATCTGATTTAAATCCCTTCATTTCTACAGAAGGAGAAAGATTTTCCTCTATTTCCTCCTGAAGCCACGCCTGCCCCTAGGAGGGCCAGCCATATGCATATCCTCCGTTATACAACATTGTTGGGCCAGGGGAGCTAAAAAGTCTTACCCGGATTTTTGACTTGTCATCGTCTGGATTTGATATGTGATATAAAACACCATCAAAATCTGAAACCAAAAAAGCAGAACTGTAAACAATAGGCATATATACTATATCCTCCCCCTGTTTGACCACTAAAGTTTTTCATGGTTCAGGAAAAGTTTTTAGTAATGGTGTTTTTTAATCCAAAGCCAGGTTGGAAAATTAAGTTATGTTTAAATGGGCTTTCAAATATTACAAACTTTATCTTGTATGATTGATTTTTTTCACTTTTGAAAGAAACACATGTACAATGTATCTATCTTTTGAAATTAGAAATTCAAACTAAATTGAGTTAAACATGATATTGATAACCATACTTAAGATTGTTCCATTGTAAAAGCAGTGAAGAATTCACACAAATGAAAATAAACTTTACCTGCAATAGTTATGTCTATAGCATCAGGTTTTCCACTGAAATGTAAATCAAACATAAATTACACAATTATACGAATTTTCTTCAGCAAACAGCATGAATCAACAAAAATTGGTGAGTTTCCTTGTACTTATCATACCATTATCAAAGTGTACCCTCAACAATGAATAAAGCATCTATCATTATTTTATATGATCTGAAATAAAAATGTTGAAAACCACATAAAAAAGTGGTCACCCCAATTCCAAGATATTGACGTGTAACGTGTATGATTTTCACCTGTCCTTCTAAATAGCATAATTGTAACTTCTGGTAAATGGGATGTTTTTTGGCTGTGACCTCACGACTTCAACAATTGTAGTAGCCACCATAGAAGGGTTGGACGAGATCGAGAACAGCCATACAGCGTCAGATTGAGAATTAACATGAGTTTCGAGGAATCTGATTATGCTGAAATTGACATTATGAAGATGTCATCCAGTCATGTCAAATTTACCAGAACTTTCAGACAGCGGGTTGAATGAATACCAAATTGACAACACTGAAGAGGTGACACTGACTGGTAGCATTTGTGACCAGTTTCTGAGTATTTATAAAAGATGAATTTGCCAAATAAATGAATTAGTGGAAAACTAAACAGTGATGAACTGAATGTTGTTCATCAACAATATTTATTCCTTAATTTTAGCTGGAAAGTCAGCCTGCAGTCACTGCCTTTACTCTACAATATGGGTGGATTGGTCGAGTGGTTAACACTTCGGCCTTCCACGCAGGCGGCTGGGGCTCAACCCTCGAAGTCGTCATACGCATGGAATATCAGAGAAAGCGTTTTTCTCCTGCCCCCACAACTCCAACAACCCAGGTGCAGTATAAATGGTCTGGGGTGGATATTGCGGTATCTGTATACGTACTGCAGTATTTAAGTGAGATGGCACTATAAAAGATGCTGTTGGAAGCACGTTCCCACTACAAACAGAGCACATTCCATCTCCAGCACACACACAGGCATACACACATAGGGAGATATTAGCCAGGTGGCATAGGACTAGTAGTAAGGGCCTGATAAGGCAGCTCCTGGGAATTCCTCAAAAATTGTATTGATTAATGTATATATGCTAATTGTATTCATTGTATATCTATGTACTGTAAAGCGCTCTAGAGTGGCTTATGTTAGCTAGATACATGTAGAGCGATATATCAAATGTTTCTAACCAGTTTCTATGACTGATTATTTATATCACTAACTAACATACTCTGTTGCTTTGTTATATATATAGCTATGGTCCAAAAATACAGAAATTTAACAGTAAAAAATCATGAAATTAATATAAAGATAATGAACTTTTTTTCTTCACATGATATGTATATATATATACATGTATGTGGCAGAACTGGACTGGGTTGATCATCAGTGACCAGGTAGCTCAATTGGTAGAGCATCTATCTAGAGTCTGGAGGGTCCCGGGTTGGAACCCTGGTCTGGCCGTGCATTTTTTCACCCTCCTGTTACATATATAACATCTTGGTTCAATAATGAAAAATCCTTTTCACTCCCAGAGCTTGCTTAAGTGTGAGGAGCTCATAATATTTTCTAGAAATTAATTGAACAATAAAAAGTATAATATTTACAGTACTGGAATAACGAATTATGAACCACTGTGCACAGGCATGTAAATTAAGATACACCATCAGCATGTTTGTTCAGACACCTGTAAGCAGCACATCATTTGCCTCTTAGACAGGAACTCATTTCATCACTTAAAATGGAAAACTGGTCGTTTATATTCAGTATCCCTAATATAAGTATAAAACAAATACTTTATATAAAAAGGTAAAAAAAAATGCATATAAAACCCAACATCAAACTTTTGGGGTAAATTCCAATAACATTATAAGGCTGTTTTAACAGTGCTGAACTTGTGACACCACAGGGTGATCAACATCAAGGTGACCGCCACGGAATCAAATGTGTGGGTGGTTTTTTTTTAGAAAAAATCACAATATCTCAATAATGGAGGTCATCACGATGTTTGCGCTTGAGGCTTTTATTGTATAAATATGTCATATGAAGTATTTTCGTAGCGTAATATAGAAAATCATTCAGGGTACATTTTAAGGACCCAAGATTGTTATTAATAACTAAAGTAACTGGAAGTGCATTTCTCCCGCAACCACTATAGATTTCCTCACTCCAGACTAATTGGATGAACCTGCTAGTGGGTAGCAACCTGGACGTGATTTCATTGGTCAATCTTCTAATTATGGCGTCAACGGTCAAGTAACAATGCTTTGCAACGTCATTTGCAATTGTGACCTCATAGTTCATGGCACTGTTTCCATGATCAACAGGAATAGGGCATTCCCAAGAGAAACATAGGTTTTCTAGATATAATATCTGAACGTTGTGGGAGAAAAAGGCCCCTGAACTCGTGATGGTTGATAAATGATAATCATGTTTATCTAACTCTCGTTAATTAATTTTCAAATAAAAAAAAACCACTCAGTTAACCTTAAGTCTTTATACAATTTGAAAATTAACTAACCTCGAGTTAGATAAACATGATAACCAACCATCACTCGTTGAGGAACCTCTGTACAATTGTATAATAATTGACGAATCCGCCCACTGACCAATAATATGATCTGTGTTGAAATAACACATGTATAAAACTTATTGAGTTTTTACTACTGCTACAAACAAGTCGATAGAGTAAAGTTTATACACTTGTATTTATACACTGCTGACTGCACACGATACAACGTAATAACCCTTAAAAACCCACTTTAAACAGGAAAGGGGAAGCAAATATCATGGCAATTGTAAATTTACAACAAGCAACAGAGCAATGTATGCATGCATAAAAACAGTACTTGTGAATCTGACACCACTTCAATGGATAAGGTGTCCTTTATTTCAAAAGTTTTAGTAACAATAAATGCATATTTTAATGATGATCTGTTGTTTATAGTGGACCTTCAAGGAAATGTCCTCAATGGAGAAGACGGAAGTCAGTTCATACCGGTGACTAATAATTTAGCTAATAGAATTACTTACCCTTCTGTGACGTTCTTGATTTTCTGAGTGAGCGTTTCTTCGACAATACGATTCTGTATTTCCAACAAAATCATGACTGCATGGAAATGCGACAGTTTTCGGAGTAAAATTTGTTCGCTGTTCTGGACTTCCGAGTTGGGTGTGTGAGAATATCGGAAAGGAAGTACCGACTACCAAAGTTACTATATAACGGACGTTTCTATTGGTGGAGAAAATCGAATAGGAAATGGGGTCCGACGTGGGATACTATGTACTCGGCCGAAGTGAGGTGTATTGTGGCGAGAACATATGCATTTTCCCTCAATTCCTTATCGTTTCATATTATGGAGTAATAAACGATGTGCAAGATGATATATTTATATAATTTAAGTATCAATATTTCTTCCAGCTTGGGCCGCTTCAACACAAATTAAGAGATTATCTGTATCTGTATTTTGAAAACGCTTCTGTCATATGATCAACGGAAGGGAATCGAAGTGCGCATGTAAACATTTTTTAGTCCGAGTGGAGACGAGATTTAAAAATCTCCATAGATTTTGTAAGGACTTGTTCGTCCTGTAGGTTTCCAGACTATAATAGTCTTGGGAAAATAATAGTGGCTATTGATGGTTACACTATTTTCAACGATATTTGTTGAGACTTGATAAAGTCGTTAAAATGCCTTGCTGTCACTGTGGCTGAGACGGTATAACAGGAAGGTCAGACGTAGCTCCTTTCTGTGCTGTTGTAAGGTTTGCAGGTCAAAGTTCCTGAGCATGTTGGCGACCCAACCAGGATTAAATTTGATATTCTTTTTCTTCCAAGTACGGGAGTAACGTATACGCTAGACTCCTCAGAAGGGAATGTACATATATTGTAATACAAATATACATGAATAATGATAGAAAAATAAGTAAAAACATTTGAATATATAATTTGTACAGTGGCTATAAAATCATTAATGTTGATGTGGCTCCTTCAAATGGTAGAGTGGATAACCACAAACTGTGGGATTCCACTCACCCCTCCCGACTTAAAACTTGATACAAAAACAGCCACGTCCACCACCAGAGTCAAAAATGATAAAGGAGAAATGACCACCTCAGACTTGGAGACGGCCAACGTTTTGAACACTTTCTTTGCTAGTGTTTTTGTTAACGACAAAGAAGTGGTTTTGCCTGAGTTTGAGGAAAGACCATTCGATAGCGTGCTTACCGACCTATCAGTGACAGAAAACCTTGTGTTAGCAACAACTAAGCGGAAAACCAATCCAAACAAATCTCCTGGCCCAGATAACGTCCATCCAAATTTCATCTCAAAAACAATAGAATCACTAAAATAACTTCTAACCATCATCTTTAACAGGTCCATCAAAGAAGGAACCCTACCAGATTCGTGGAAACAGGCTCATGTCTCACCAATATTTAAGAAAGGCTCCAAAATTGACTCGGAAACTACAGACCTATCAGTTTGACGTCGGTTCCCTGTAAGATTCTACAACGCATAGTCCGAGATGCAATCTTAAAACACATGGACAAGAATCATCTCTTCACCCCCCACCAACATGGCTCAGAAGTGGCCGCTCCTGTACCACTCAACTGCTAGAGGTCTGAAGACTGGACACAGGCATTAGATGATGGGAACAATGTTGACATCATATACCTCGACTTCAGCAAACTTTTTGACAAAGTGTCGCACCGCTTTCTACTATACAAACTATATAAATATGGAATCAGAAGTAAAATTCTGGCTTGGACTAAGGAATTCTTAAAAGAGTTACAACGAGTTACAATCAACGGAGCAAAATCCCCAAGTCTCCGAGTCACAAGTTGAGTTCCTCAGGGAATCGTCCTTGGCCCTATACTATTCTTGTTTTACGTCAATGACATGTCTGAACTTCTCAGCTGTATAACCAAATTATTTATGGACGATACCAAATTCTATTAAAAAACGCGTACAGCATTAGAAAGACAGCAACTCCAGATAAACATCAACAAAACAAGTAATTGGACCGACAGCTGGTTCATGAAGCTTAACACCAAGAAGTGCAAACATTTTATGGACATAACTCTTTTTACAACCCTGTACAAGTCCCTAATTCGTCCACATTTGGAATACGCTACGCAAGTGTGGTCACCGTCTCTAAACAAGAACAAAATAGCTATCGAAAATGTCCAACGAAGAGCCACTAAAAGGGTACTAGAAATACAGAATATACAGGCGTGAGAGGGCAGATGTGGTTGAACTGTACAAAATATTGAACGGGATCGACCAGTTAGACTTCGGCCTGATGTTTCGTCCTACACCACTTAGTATCACTAGAGGTCACTCTAAAAAAATATTCAAGAAACCTTTCAGGCTTAACACTAGTAAGAATGTCTTTAGTAACCGAGTGATCAATGTCGAACTGACCCTATTTCTGACGTATTTTGTCAATTTTTTTACTTATATTTTTTTCACCCTGCCGGTCCCTTCTCGCTCGCCACTTGCGCTGGCCTACGTGACCAGTGGGCGAATTACGAGTGAGATAATTTGGGACAGTTCTTATAGTTTACTGTTATTTATTTAATTATTTGTTTGTTAGGTATAATTCAGAGTCGGCGGTTCGGTGCCGTTCTGATATTTATATTTAGTTTACTTTGTTTCGGAGCTCCATTCGCCTGTATTTGGCCGTCCATATTGGCGGAATACGTCATGCATATATGACTGTCATTTATCACTCTCATTATGGATTGTTGGGCACCGGGACTCGGGAGGCACTACTGAACCGGTCATCATGACTCCCTCGGGATATTGTGTGGGTTGAATCATGGACGTACCCCCATTGGGTCTACCCCAATCCACCTGGCAATGTCCTATTGTGTTTTGGCGGTATTATTACGTTTTGGGCTTCCTTGACAGTGGACGATGTCCTCTATTCTTCCACTCGGGGTGTTCTAGTTATCGCCTGATTAACAATAAAAAGGACGCCAGCATCCAAGTCAATGACACAATTGTTCCTCGACAGGAAGTCAAGCCCCAACATGTCGTCCATGATGGGGGACCTCACATACGGTCCAAGGTACTTCCGTGTTCCCTATTCCGATAATGCAGGTCTTTAATTTCCCATACTTTTTCCACATTGCCGGTAAACTCCCGAAGCCTCACTCATTTTCCAATCACCAGTGGTCCCTCGAGTTTATCTACCAGTCCCCGCTTAATCAGCGTTATGATTCTAATTCACTACGTTCAACCGATCATATAAATCTCAACACCTTTGTATGGGAGAGGCCTTCAACGGCCAACCATTTTATTTAAGGAAAAGGTACTGATAATACAAAGGGCACGTGCCCGATCCTTCTTCCCTTCTCTCTTCCCTCCGTCCTGAACCTGGATCCTGGCAGACGCTCGGAAATCCCGTTCCAGAATCTTTCCCGGAGTTCGTGCCTGTCTCAAGGAAAAGGGGGAAATTTCATAATTCTATGATTTAACAAAAAAAAATTAAAAAAAAATCTCGAAGTAAACAGTTGAACCGTCAAGACTCGAACGTAACCCTCAAACTTCATTTATCACTCTATTGACACCCGTGTCGCACCCGTAACACGTGCGGTTCCACGTTACCCGTCCCGCCTCACGGGGCTACCTTTGTCACCTTGGCCTCATATCCGGACACTTGTACACTTGTTCTACCTGTACTACCTACATTACGGTATACGGTGACTATAACAATCCACGACAGCTTGAATTAGTGTTCCATTCAAAGTTAGGGGTAAATGGTAATGTTACTGCCATCCGAGACCGCTAGCTTCACCTCTCTCAAAGGTGGGACCTCTTTCCTCGGTGTCTGAGACGGAGACCTTATTATTATTATTATTTCTTTACTGCTATTGCATCTCCCCGGTTTCCAGGAGCCCCGGCTAGGTTGACCTTAACCTCGACCTGGTGACGCCGTGTCAGGTGACTCGGTGACCAGTTACGGTTTCGCGGGGGACCTTGGTTTAAACAATATTTTACTCAAAAATATGCAGTACATAATATAATATTATACAGAATGAAAGGGATCTGGCAACAAGAGTAGGCTCTTATATTAAGCCATCTCCCAACAATGAGAAGATTGCAGTATAACACAAACAGGTTAAATAACATCAATAATTATACAAATTCAACTATTTATTTTTAGAGTNGATGAAGTAGAGTGAAATGGAAACCCATGCAGTCACCTAAAACCTACCTGTTCCAATGATATACCTATGAACCTGATTAAAGATTTCCGTATTATCACTGGGATCACCATGTAATACCTTTCTGATGTCCACGATTACCCCTAACTTTGCTTTGGGTTCGGCTCGAAATGTGTTATAAGTTCCTACATTTAACGAGAAAGTGAGAAGTGGTTTCAATGCAACCATTATTATATAAATGATGGTTTAATGATAATGAGCTGCATTCGAGTCGAAAACTTATGAAGTACCTAGGCACGCAGTTTGCCGAAGTAATAGAAATCGGGTATCTTAGACTTATTCCTATTAAGGTAAACGAGAAAAGAGGATTTAATTAGGTTGTTACTAATCATTATTAATGGAGGATGATCGACTTGAGCACGTTTCCTAGATATAATCATACTTTTAGTTTTATTTGGGTTGAAGTTTACCAACTATTGCTGTGCCCAGGTAATAGCCAAGTCGGAAGTTAGTAACTCTGCCGAGCGAGTCGGATTTTCAACTAGGATGTAAAGTGTGAAGTATCATCTGCAAATAACCGAATACTAGCATTTATACTATTTACAATATCATTAATTTAAATGATAAACAGAAGAGGCCCTAGTATTGAGCCTTGAGCCACATCTGCCTGTAGCTTTCCTTTAGCAGACGAATTCCCTCCAACAGTTACTTTTTGACTGCGTCCATCGAGATAGCTCACAAACCAACCTCTGTGTCACACTCTATCAAAGACTTTACTAATGTCGCAAAACACCACCCGAACCTCATTGCCACTATCAACCGATTGGAAAAAAGTATTTACAATATCGGTTAATTGAAATATAGAAGAATCTTTTGGGGTAAAACCAGATTGAAAGGGTGTAATGCAGCAATTTTCCCTAAGAAAGTTATAAACATATTTAAAGATACATTCTTTTCAAAAACTTTTGCTATACAACTTAAAAGAGGAAATGGTCTATAATGTGTTACTAGAGAGTTCTCTCCCTTATCGTAAACTGGAATTACGTACATTTGCATTTTTGTAAACTTCATGGAACTTATGTTTGATAATGGTATAGCCAGTTCTGCGCCAGCCTCTTTTAGAAATCCAGGATTTACTAAGTCATGGCCACAGTGTCATTTGTTGATCATTGATAGTCGCTTGATCACAGAAGAAACTGTTGAAGGTTTCCGTCTTTTTCCTGGCAGTAAAACGCTTGGTGTTTTTATGACAGAGTGGAGGCCATTGACAGTCAGACGTTTGTTTGAAGTCCAGCAGTCCCCAGTTGCAGTACTGTAAAAGATATAGATTTTGTGTTTAATCTTAATGTAATGTCTAATTACCATCTACGTTATGTTCTTCTTGGTGGTATTTTCAATTATGACTTATCTCCATATGAACCGGAGGACTTTAGAATAAAATCCATTGTTATTATTACTAAAATTCTTCAATACAGTGGTATTACGTAATTTATCCTTAGATATTTGAATGTTGTATACTGAGTAATATGATCAATAATTTACTTGTGTGTACCTCACGCTTCAGCAAGATTAATACATGAAATACATATATTTCTGTATTCATATTAGTAGGCAAGCATTTCCTACGTCTTTCCTGTTGATTAGTGCAACTTACTACCATTCATAATATTGTTTGTATTGTATGAATTAATCTTGTGCTATGTATTACTACAACTGAAATCATTGCATGGTTGCGCTGTTTCTTCAAGTTAATTATTATATTGTATGTTGTGTATTTCACACCACTGTATGACTATATTGTATGACTTCGTGCAACGCGTTCTACTCAATGTATGATTGTATTGTAAGACTTATGTAACAGTAATACTGTCTATAATAATGCTGTATAATTTATAGTGTGATACCTGTAATACTGTTTATTACAATGTTGTATGATTGCTTAGTACGAGAAGTGTATTACTGTCTATACTATTATATGATAATGTAGTTTGAGGAGTGTAAATATGTCTATTACATCAATGTGTGATGTAATGTATGATTAGTGTTATACTGTCTATCATCATAATTATCACCATAATTATCACCGTATAATGACTGTAATAGTACCTATTAAATCATTGTGTTGTGTTTATAGTACTTTATGGTACTATTATTATTCTCTTATGTGTGTGCCTGTCCATGTGCATGTGTGTGTCACTATGTAAGGGTGTGACCATAATTGTGAATGCATTTTCTTCTCTTTCAATAGTGTTGAATTGTACGTGTATTGTTCGTTATTTCTGTAACTCTTCATTTCTGGAGGAAATAAAGGAAATAATAATAATAATAATAATAATAATAATAATAATAATAATAATAATGATATTTCTAGTAGGTTTGTTAACTTGCTCATCTACAGATAGATTGTTCATGTCCCAATCATTGTCAAAAATAGCCAGTCTATAATTTATATAGTTGCCTACATCATATTGACCTTGTTCTGAGTATGGAGACCTATATCGGCGCCGACCATCATACCTGTTGCGCCCGTTATCTTGGGGCGGACGAGAGTACTGAGCCCTAGCACGATAATCTGGCGGTTGATTCCCTTCATAGTTTTGAGGGAAACCTCGATCGCGTTCCGGGGAGCGGAAATCACCACGAGGTGGCGGCGAGTACGGACGGGCAGACACGCCGCCCACACTAAGTCGGGCCAAGGATTTCTTTTACACATGTAGTTCCTCTTTAAAGAACTTAACGGAGTCCTCGTTCTCATTCTCCTCTTGTTTAGCGAAGTGCATTTCTCTGCGGGCCACTATTGAGTCGTCCTTGTCACTGAACCGTTCCTTCATCTTCTTCTTAAGCTAAGTGAACCAAAGAGTTCGCGGAAGTTTGTCCATACTCAAACGCGTCACCGACCAGACAATCAAAAACCCCGCTGTAGTAGTCTTACGGTCCGACTATCTATTTTTTTTTTTATTATCCTCTTATTGTAAATTTTAGAGCGAAGGGCTCCCATCTCTCCTTACCTTGACCGAGTAAGTGGGCATCTTGCGTCTCTGCGAACTTCTACTCTTTCGGCGATGCCCGAGGGTCAGTAGATGGTTTACCCTCAGGTAGAATGGGGGTAGGCTGAGATATAGCGCTCTATCCCCCAGAGTGACCAGCTACTTGTTTGATTCTCTAGGCTACTGACATATATGTCCACGTTCAGTTTTTTATTTTTTTATTTTTTATTTAAATAATTAGGCATTTGATCTTTTCCTTAATTAATAAAATATTTTTCAAATCAATAGTAGAGTTCTACATTCAATCTGATTAAAATCATCTGTTACATGGCTTCGTTAATTTCGTACTACGCCTGAACAGGCGGAGCCATGTAACAGATGATTTTAATCAGAGTGTAGTACATTTTATTTATATTTTAATTCCATACCTATTGATTTATCTTCTATTTAATCATGTCAACAAATCACTATACACGTGTACAGTACAGCTACGCTTTGTAGATAAGACATCATCCTAAAAGATATTTATCAATTGTTAACTTTTACCCTCCAATTAATTAGCACTAGCAGGGACGTATAGTGTATATATACTGTCCCTGGCACTTGTAATTTTATCTATTATTTAAACACAAACAAAGGATGCTGAAATACACAAAAATTGTGGGATAAATGCGTAAGAATGAATGAAGGCCAAACAAACAATATGAAGTGAATACGTGAAAATTCATCGTTGAGGATAGTTTCATTTGTTTAAAATGCAGGAAGACTGCAGGACCAAGTAAGGATCGCAATACACGCGAAAGACATCATGCTATTCGAAAATTATGAATATCATTTTGCCATTCATAGGTGCAGGAAAAACAAAATCACACATCTTGATTTTGTTTTTCCTGCACCTATGAATGTGTATTTTTGTGTATTTCAGCATCCTTTGTTTGTGTTCGTAGTACGAAATTAACGAAGCCATGTAACAGATGATTTTAATCAGATTGAATGTAGAACTCTACTATTGATTTGAAAAATATTTTATTAATTAATTAAGGAAAAGATCAAATGCCTAATTATTTAAATAAAAACAAAAACAAAACAAAAATGAACGTGGATTCGAACTTGCACGTCCATTTTCTGGTCACAAGATCGGCGAACAGTGTGATAAAAAATGCCTTCCAAGCTTTTAGAAAGTCCTCTCGCATATTTAGATTCATGAAGGTATTGCCATCAAAGACAATTTTCCTTTAAAAACCCAATAATATAATACTAGGTTCGAATGAAATACGTTGTGTGTGAGCAGTAAAATATTTCGTCATGTGACCAGCAATTGTTGATGACGTCAAGAACAGGATTGACCTTGGGACACCGGTAAACCTGTACAGCGAAAACTAAAAATGTCTTTATTTCGCACAGTTGCAAGTAATGTCTTGCGTCAAAACAAGGTGAGTATTCCGTATAAACCAAGAAGGTAATTTCTCGCGATATGTTTGATTCAACTGCACGAAATGTGGGAAATACGCTAGAATAAAGAGTGGAACATGAAACGTGGGTTATTTCATGAATCGCTTTCGTTATGCTCGATCATGTCGAGTTTGACATGCTTTAGTTGGCTCAAAGTCATATACAAAAAGAGATGAATCTAGAATAATTAAAAAACGGATGACTTTTGTTGGTTCAATGTAGGCAGGAAATGTGCGCTGCCCAGACATGTAGATGGTTGATCAAACGGTTAGAGTAATATGGTAGGCTAACCGCGGTTGCAAGTTGTATTATTGAATATATTGAATAATTTTATTCTGAGGTACAGGTATTGCCCAGAACATTACTGAATATTCTAAATTGAGACATGATATTTGATATCAATAGCAGTTCCGTCTTCAATAGTTTCAGCATCGGAATGTACATCTTGCATTGTGGGACTGATATATGACGAAATATATTCGACGCCTAATACACTTAAAAAATGCTTGGTTAGCCAATCATGTCGAGGACCACTGACATGGAGCAATCACGATTTTCATTTAGAACGGGACTTAACACATGGTAAACATAATCAGCTGGGCATATTAATAATTGAACCATTCAGCTGTATACAGAATATTCCAGAAAAAATGTTACCGAGATTATCTGTTTCACACTACTTACGTCATAGCTATTATGTCGTCATAATGTAACTTACCATTGTGTAAATCTTTTTGTACTGCATTTTTGTACCTTAAGCTTTAGCCGAAAAAAATTGTTGTCCTGATGGCCGCAAAGCAGGCCGAAACATGTAGACACTAACTAAATCACACAACATGTCCTTGTGGTGTTGCGATTCCTTTATTTCTCTATGATATGCCATGTGTAATATGGTAGAGATAAATGTTCCTTGTAAACACAGTACTGGATAATTGTGACTATAAGTCTGTCATGGAATGGATAAAGCACCTTCATTCATTATAAGTCTGTCATGGAATGGATCAAGTGCCACCATTCATAAAGTTAAGTTCATAAGTACTACTGATTGCTACCAATTCTTGCCACAGCATATGTATAATATATTTACATTTGCGCTGCAACCCACTATATGAACATTACCAGCAGAAATGCATTTCATTTGAGTATGAAAGCAAAAACTCTCGTGACGTGACAACGGTGACACAGCTTCGCTTCGGATAACATGGAGAATGCCCCTGCAACAAACGCTTAAATGACCACAGTTGATTATTTGCGCCAATTTTAGTTAAAACGGGGCTGTTCTGCCAATGTCGTTTAAGGACAAGGCATATATGTATAAACAAAATGCAGTAATTTTTTATTTTTTATTTAAGAACAAACAAATAAAAGTTAACAATTGTTCTACAGTAAAAATGTAAATTTTCATGCCAGCATGAAAATTAAAAACCACCGTTTAATCCATATTCAAACAACTTGCATGCACATGAAAATTTATATTTTTTCCTGACACATTGTGACAAACTTAAAAACTACATGTTTGTAGCCAATGTCACAATTCTCATTATAAAGTAGTCTGCAATACAGAGACTTTGAGCCTGTAGCTGCAATAATTTTGTGTAATTCGAACATGACTGACAATATTGATGTGCCTTTGTTTAATCTGACCGTACGTTATCATTACCCAGTTAATTTTCAAATTGTATAAAGACATGAAGTTTACAGAGTGTCTTTTACAGTTTAAAAATTAATTTATGAGAGTTTATGGACCTTTTTCTCCTACAACGTTCTGATATTATATCAAGAAAACCATGGTTCTCTTCGAGGAAACAATTGTCATGAAACTATGACGTCGTAATGAAAGATGACGTCGGAAAGCATTGTTATTTGATGTCCTTATTAGAAAATTGACCACTGACATCAGATTCAGGGTGTTGCCAACCATTCGATATAACCAAAAATGTTTACCAACTCCTAGCATGTTTATCCAATGATTCGGGAGTGAGGAAAACTATAGTGGTTGTGGTAGAAAAATGTATGCATGATTTGAAAAAATAACTATTTAAATATGAACGTTTTTGATTGCAGGCTTTTCTGCCGGCTGTGAGTGTAAGGCACTCCTCTTCTTCCACAGTAAGTACATTACAAATACATATAGATAACGGGTAAATTAAATCTGAATTCTGAAACTTTAGATATATATATGATGTCAAAAAATTGTCATATTTAAAAAAATAGAATCGTAGACGTAAGCAGCACAAGAAAGGTTTTTAAGTAAACATATTGTCAGGTCCTCTACCTAGTGTTTAATTAACCCATTCACCCCTGATGTCACATTTGAACCTTACCAAATCAAAGACTGGACAAGTCCAGTTTAATTGTGTAGGGTTGAATTGGTTAGATCATTGCAGAATACAATGTACAGCTTGTTGAACATTCTTGAATGAAACTATTTTCTAGACCATAGTAATATCTATATTTATCTTAATAGGACATGTTATTGAAATTTCTCTGTAATAATGGGGTTGGACATGAAATCTTTTATTTAGAATCTGAAAGATGTCCTGGCAGATGTCATTCCAGAAAAACAGAAGGAAGTGGTTGAATTGAGGAAACAATATGGTGACAAAGTGGTGGGAGAGGTCACCCTCAACATGGTAAGTATGCCTAGGGAAATGGTCACAGAAGTGACATTGGTAACTCAATCTTACATTGATCGAAGGTCACCCTCAACATGGTAAGTATGCCTAGGAAAATGGTCACAGAACAGAGACATTGGTAACTCAATCTTGCATTGATGGAAAGTCACCCTCAACATGGTACGTATGCCTCGGAAAATGGTCACAGAACAGTTACATTGGTAACTCAATCCTACATTGATGAAAAGTCACCCTCATCATGGTAAGTATGCCTAGGGAGATGGTCACAGAACAACGACATAGGTAACTCAATCTTACATTGCTCGAAGGTCACCCTCAACATGGTAAGTATGCCTAGGGAAATGGTCACAGAACAACGACATTGGTAACTCAATCTTACATTGATGGAAAGTCACCCTTAACATGGTAAGTATGCCTAGGGAAATGGTCACAGAACAGCGACATTGGTAGCTCAATCTTTCATTGATGTAAAGTCTCCCTCAACATGGTAAGTATGCCTAGGGAAATGGTCGCAGAACAGCGACATTGGTAACTCAATCTTGCATTGATGGAAAGTCACCCTTAACATGGTAAGTATGCCTAGGGAAATGGTGACAGAACAGTGACATTGGTAACTCAATCTTACATTGATGAAAAGTCACCCTCAACATGGTAAGTATGCCTAGGAAAATGGTCACAGAACAGTGACATTGGTAACTCAACCTAACATTGATGGAAAGTAGCACTCAACCAGATGAATATACATGGAAAGGTCGACATAACTGAAAATGTCACAGCAAAGAGGCTTGCTTCTCAATCTTAAAATGGCGGAAACTCATGGTATAGAAATGTCACTCAAATGAGATATTAGTTAGCAATGGAAAGTCACCCCTAAACTAAGTTAATTATAAACATTTATAGAAATGTAGTAGTGCTTTAATAGGACCAAAAAAATATGTTGGTTTAGGGTATAAAAGGGAAAGCAGGTAGGTTGATTTTTTTTTTTTTTTTTTTTTACTACCTGCTTCAGTTTAATAAACCCAATCCTCCCTGAAGACACATTTGAACTCTTCCAATTCAAAGGCTGGTATAGTTAATTATGAAAATTCAGGAATGAATCAATTAATTTGGTGTCGTGACTCATGTTTCAGATCTATGGAGGTATGCGTGGCATCAAGGGTCTAGCCACCGAAACATCTGTCCTTGATCCTGATGAGGGAATCCGTTTCCGTGGGTATAGCATACCAGAATGTCAAGACATCCTGCCCAAGGGTGATGGTGGAAAGGGGAAGCAGCCCCTGCCAGAGGCTCTGTTCTGGCTACTTCTCACAGGAAAGGTGCCCACACAGGCTCAAGCTGATGCCGTCACAAAGGTAAGTGAAAACAGACCACTTACAGGGAAAATCCAGGAGGGGGCCATGGGGCCGGGCCATTGACCCCTCAAAACTGAAATTAACCTCTCCATGTTTCAATTTTCTTTTAATTTATATAGAATGGCCCCTCCTAATTTTGATATTGACTAAAATTGCTGAAAATAGCCCTATGCTCTCAAATTTAAGAATTTTCCCTGACTTATATGGATATCTGCTGAAAAACACTTAATCTTTATGGGGTAAATATTTGATTTTACTCCTGGGGCAAATCATTTTTTGCCTTTCACTGTTTTAGTGTTTACTCACTTGATATCTATTTCCACGTTTGCGAATTTGAGTTTCACGATTCACAGATTGAGAATTCAGGGGGGAAATAGGACAGCTAGCATAAAATACCTACAATAGCAACTGTAACTGTTCATGGATGCTTCTTTGCCACATATAGAGAGATTAGACTGATACATTTAAACATCCATTTGTAAAAGTGTTTAATCTCTGGGCCCGTTATTCATGAAACAGTTCTCGTGCACAAACTCAGATTTTGTGCTCAAGCCTTTTTTCTTATTCCGGTAATAAGTTTATACAAAATTACGTTTTCTCAATGAACCGGAATAATTTTGGAGAGTGTTGGGCCGTATACATTTTCAATGTTCAAAATGGATTTTTTTGACTGTGTGACATGATTTTAAGCCAGTTGCATGAAAGTATGTTTGAGCAATGACTCTACGCTTGAGCACGAGAACGGTTTGATGAATATGACTGAGGTCTTGCTGAAAAGAATTGTTGTAAATCCCAGATTTGAGTAATACATCTTAATCCTGATATTACAAACATTTTTTTTCACAAAAGAAAGGTTTGGATAAAAATAATTAGTAATTTTGAAACAGAAATTTACAATATTACATTTATTGTATTTCATCTGCAAATAGCTGTACAAACATTTTAGAAGAAATTATTTTGACACTTTTCTTTCTACCTAGAATAAAATGAAATCATTCATTAAAAAAACTTAAGATGGCATTTGGCTGTTCCAGGAATATTGTTTGCACTGGAAATAGAGATACCGGTACTTCAATATTGTAATCATTATGAAGCTCTTATGTTTACTGTACATTTAGCATGTAAATATATATATATACCAAGCAGTGCACAACATTCATGCCACACTATAAACACAAATTGGTTACACCCAAAGCCGGAATTATGGTCCCGAAAAGAAGTTTTTTTGTAATGTCGGTGACATTTTAACAGCTGCCTCTCTTCTCTGCATAGGAATGGAATGACCGCGCAGCCCTCCCAAACCACGTGACGACCATGCTGAACAACTTCCCCGCAATCCTTCACCCCATGGCACAGTTCAGTGCTGCTATCACAGCACTCAGCAGTGAGAGCAAATTTGCAAAAGCCTACTCAGAGGGTGCCAAGAAGACAGCATACTGGGAGGTAGGTATACAGAGGAACACCTACTGCACACTCGTGAAAAATATCAAAATATTACCCACACTCGTGAAATATATTTGTTATTACTGAAGACACCATTAAATATCCACTATATATTTCATTATACTAGTCAAGTTTTTATTTTTTAGTTGCTAATTTTTTTTTTTAATAAATCTGCAACTGAACATCGGCCTCCATTGTTTAAAATTAAACAAGTATGTCTCCCCTCAACTTTCTCCAGAAATCTTATCCAAATATCTGTTTCCTTGTATGATACTGCAATGTATGATGTGCATTTTGAGTTTGTATGAGGATTCCAAATGTATGGTGTTGTCTCCCTTTGTCAGCATGTCTACGAGGACTCCATGGACATGATTGCCAAGCTGCCAACCGTGGCCGCCCTCATCTACAGGAACCTGTACCGTGAGGGTACTTCTGTAGGCACAATAGACCCAGCCAAGGACTGGAGCTGGAACTTCACCTCCATGCTGGGATTTGAGAACAGTGACTTCACAGAACTCATGAGGATGTACCTTTCAATTCACAGGTCAGTTGTTATAGCAGTGTAGAAATCAACTATCAGAGTTTTACATCCCATTTTGACTTTGAGAGTCCTTAGGACCCACTTGATTGAAAATTGGGGGGGGGGGGGGGGGGGGTCCTACATAATTATTTAGGGTCCTCATGAATGATAATTTTCAGTATTCATTGCTTTAAGTCATAAACATCATTAAAATTTGTAGATTGGGTTTTTTTTTAGGTTGTCTTTTCAGGGGGTTATGGAGACACAGGTGTTCAGATTTTAGGGGTCCTGTAATGGAAAATGGGGATATTTGAAGCAGGATTCTGCTTCATGCAAAACTGCACTATACTGGAATTCAGCTAGACACCGTGCACGTGCCAGCAGTAATATTCAATTGATTTGAATATACTTTAACAGTGAGAAAGGAAAAGTGAATTTGTTGAATTCAGAAAGTCCCTGATAAGCATGTACCATATTTATCCTGCAATAAGCCCAGGGGGCCAACACATATTTTTTGATTGAAAGTCGGGGGATGTGCTTAATACATTTCTTCCTAACTGCAATACATATTGATGGGCTAATTACCAGGCATGGGCTTATTGCCGGATAAAAACAACAAAATTATATTGAAACTGCTGGTCCAACTCGAATGATCCATCTAAGCTCTTTTTGTACTTGAAGACTATGTTATACATGTACCTGGAAGTTATAATAACTATTGGTTACGACCTTAACTAACAGGATGCAGCATGCTTCTGTAAATATCTTTATTCTTCGCCTGCTGCTGGCTGCAATTCTCGCCTGTGCTGACATAGCTATCTCCGTCTGGCAGCCACAGAAACCATTTCACTAAGAGATTAAAAGTAGTTTTATTTTCTGAATATAAACACATACGTCACCACTCACGATTCCTTTTAGCTTGTTTCTGGTAGAGTCCTAAGATTTAAGTGACATGACATTGCAGGGTTTATAATACTGCTGTTTTATAATGGTAGTTTTAACTGATTTATAAGGCAAGTTTGTGCAGCACATGTTAGTTGGTGATATTTTCAGCGTGATATATATGATAAAAAAAATGCATAATCTATTTTTTTCAGTTTCAAAGACAACACTATATATTGTATACGATATCTACCTAGTGTAGAAATGTTTATTTTGGGTGTTTTTAAGCAAGCTTTGTTTACTGCTGTTTACACATGCATGTGTTGTTGACCTTCCAGTGACCACGAGGGTGGCAACGTCAGTGCACACACAACACATTTAGTGGGCAGTGCTCTGTCTGACCCCTACCTCAGCTTCGCTGCTGGCATGAACGGTTTGGCAGGACCCCTTCATGGCCTAGCCAATCAGGTGGGTCCCTCCATCATATAGCACTCATTACTTGTGGCAGTGTTTGCTTGACTGCTTTCTGTAACTTATTTTAACTCGTTCACCCCTGAAGGCACATTTGAACTCTTCCAATTCAAATGTTGGAATAGTTAATTATGAAATTTCAGGGGTGAATGAGAAGGGTACAACAGTATACATTCTTTGTTTACCATTATGTTATCCTATACAAAAATCTGAAGTTAAAAATTTGGCTTTTCCTTTAGAATTAAATTATGTTTGCTTTATTATAGCTCAAAGAGAGAAAAAATGAGTTTTACAAAATGAGCTGCAGTTCATGGAATTATAACTAGATAGATTGATAGAGAGTTTTGTGTCTTTCACAAGACATCCATTAGATTGCTTCTTTTCCACTATGCACCATTGCATCGTCTTTGTATCAGAATATCGTAACTTTATAAATATGACGTTTCATCTCTTTTATGATGCCGGAACTAAAATGTTATCACATTGCATATATATATATATTCCGAAACTTTCCTTTTACAGGAGGTGCTTGTTTGGCTGACCAAGGTTCAAGAAGACTTCGGAGGTGAGGTGTCTGATGAAAAACTCAAAGACTGGGTGTGGAACACGCTCAAGTCTGGACAGGTAAGCAGACCTTTGTAACTATCTACTGTGTAATACAACAACTTAATGTACCAGTAGTTTCTTTCTCAGTTTGATATATATGTAAATACATGTTTTCATTGTCAGCCGACATATTCACACTGGTTCTATAAAGTTCTATACTTGTTTAATACACCGACGATGTCAATGATATTGTATTTATAAAATAAAAAGCAAAAGATCAGTGTTGTGCTGTGACTTTAAGTGAAAAGCACCAGGGCATGCTTGTTTGAACAATTGGTGCTTATTTTCAAAACGAGTGCAATGCATCAATGGATTCTAGAAAACCCCAAGTGAACAGAGGTTGTATGCAAATATCCTTTGTACTTTTATTAAAGCAGATTATTTTTATGGAATAGTTTTTGTCTGTTTGGGAAGTGCTATATATGATATCATAAAAAGATCACCAAATGTTTATCGCTGAATCTGAACAATCATATGAAATTACGCGGGGCAGTGGTGGCCAAGTGGTTAAGGCATTTGACCGTCTATGACCACTTGCCCTCCAGCACTTGGTCGTTGTTCGAGGCCTACATTGGGCAGTTACCAGCTACTGGTATTCCAGTTTTCCTCAACAACCAAAACCTGACACTTCCTTAAATGACCATAGCTATTAATAAGATGAAAAACACAAACAAACCAAACCATATGAAATTATAAAGAAACTGTCTTCATCTAACTTTCCTGCTTTCAGGAAAAGACAACTGTTAAACTGAGTTAAGGATAGCACCCAACTAACTGATTTGTATAGACTCCACATTCAGTGGGAGTTAAAGTTAGTGTTAAAGTTAAGGCAACCACATTAGTCAGATTAATACCTGGTAAGCAGCTTTCATGTAAAACTTTCTGTTTGATTAGGAAGTATTTACAATAACGTTACATGTACTTTGTCATTTGGGTTACATACTTGAAGTGCATCAAAATATACTTTTACCAACACCGTACTACATTGACCTGTAAGTGGTAAGATATATTTTTATAAGTTACATAATTTATATGCAATACATATAAATTATATAACTCAGATGCTGAAATACAAACCGCTGGCATATGATCACTCAATAAACTTTCAAGTTGTAGAATTTCACACATTCAATTTTTACATGAAATTGTGAAGGTTTTGGTTGCTTGCTGTATAGTATTCAACACCTTGAAATCATGTTCATCTCCTTTCAGGTTGTGCCTGGTTATGGACATGCTGTGCTACGCAAAACTGATCCTCGGTATCAATGCCAGCGAGAGTTTGCACTGGAGAAGCTACCCAACGATCCCATGTTCAAGCTCGTGTCTCAATTGTACAAGATCGTACCGGATGTGCTCTTACAACAAGGCAAGGCCAAGAACCCCTGGCCCAATGTTGATGCTCACAGTGGTGTACTCCTTCAGGTAAGAAATACTGACAGATTATCCAGCATTGGGTATAAAACTATATGATGGTGTACAGGGGCCTGCTCGTTTATGCGGAACAATCGGTATTTCCGTTTTTAAATGTAGTATTTCGGGTATAAATCCTGGCAGACCTGAAAATGTTTACACAGGCCTTGCAAGGCTTCGTTAAATCTCACCATAAAGCAGCATCAGATTACTGGGTCCAACCTTATTTGAATATTTCATAAACGAATAACTCTGGTTCAACCAGTTTAACGGTTTGGATCGTGATAAATGAAACGGCCCTGTATTCATCCAGCAGTACGGCCAAGCCTGGTAATAAACCCACTTACCAACAAATGTTATTTCACTGTATAAACTCACACCATTACTGGGAGTATAGAGTTTACTTGTTGGCCCCAGGGCTTATTATAGGATAAATGACGTATTTGAAATGGAATTTGTCAAGAATAAAAAAGGAAAGAATACAAACCAGTATTTCAATACTTGCCATCACTACAAAGTAGTTTTTGATAGTTGGTACTCATTTCCCTTAGATTTTGATTACTAATGTGTATAGGCAAATTAGAGTATTTGTATGAACATTTTGTGTAATTTACTTTCATATCATTTCATTGGCTTACCTTACAATTCAGACTGTGATGTTGAAATGAAATAAATTCTGCCTGAAAGACTTTGGTAAGATATTTGTAAGATTTAATAATTTAGTGGAGTGATTTTCGATACTTAATGTGTATTTGTATTGTTTTGCAGTACTACGGGATGAAAGAGATGAATTACTACACTGTTTTGTTTGGTGTATCACGAGCTCTCGGTTGTTTGTCCTCTCTCGTCTGGGACCGGGCATTTGGACTCCCTATTGAGCGACCAAAATCATTTGACACACCATCCTTCCTTAAACTGGTGAAGAAATGAAAACAGTGATATCTAGGACCTTTTTATTATAATAAAATGAGAGTGATACAGTCCAGGGTTTTTTTTTAATAGAGGAGAAAAACTGTAAGAAAATGTATTTTCAAGAGGTAGAATATGAATAAATGTATGTTTAAAAATTTCATTCAATCATAATCAACAGGAGACATTAGCTTGTAACAACGTATCCACTGAACCCTTTCACCCCTTATGTAACTTAAGTCAACTCTTCCATGCCTTGATCTGGATGAGTCCATTATGGTCTACAGTGGTGAAAGGGTCATACGCGTACCAAGTCTTCATCTAGGCCATCCAAATTCTTCAGACCAATCGTAAGACTTTTATAATATTGTGATGTTAAGTTGTTTACTGCTATTCCGCTATGTGGGGTTGAGATTAACCAGGTGCATTTGGGTGGTCTAGACCTGCGATTGAATTCAGGGCTTTGATACTATTATGAAAAGGTAGCATTTCATGGTTTCTAAAACTCTCAAATCTTGATATTGTCTGTTTTTAGATTTATGATAAGTTTTGGGTGAAAATTATTTGGTTTGTTTTTATACATATATCTCTCCATCATTAATAATAAGATATTGTATACATAATTGATTGCTATCCATGGTGTATTGAATTAAGATTTGACATGCTGGGATATTTGGAGAGAAGTAACGCATTAACCAGACTTTGGAAAATATAAAGCAACACTTTGCTGCAATGCTGTAGTTGCAGCTCTATAAGAGTAGGTCCTCTGGCTGCAGTTAAAAGATGTACATATCTGTCCGAATATTTTCTTAGAGATCAAGAGAGATATAAAATGTGGTGCAATCTTTATTTTAGGAGACAGAAGACATCTTGTACATGTCTAAAGAGAATTTACTGTAAATTGTTTTGTGTGTGAAAGTTATGTTCTATGAATTCTGCTATTGCTGCCAGGAACACCAATATTCAATACAACTTCAGCAGCAGCATTTAGTCGACCTCTGTCTAGAAATGGGTCTGTTTCCCTGAAAGGGAGTTACAGGGCACACTCTTAATGGCCATTAACGGACATTCATCGCGACTGGTGGTTTGTGTGCTAGTTATTTATTTATACAAGATTGTTCATCACACTTCTGTATACATTGTGAACCCCATAGTGCTGGAGACATTCTTTTTTATCTACCAGATCATTGGTATTCATTTACCACGTGATTTAAATTTATTAAAAAAAAAAAAAGAGAGAAAATTTGTCAGTGTTGTCTTTTTTTTACTCTTCGTCTGTTGGGAGGGTCAGTGACTTATTCCAAAATTAATTTTTGTTAGATAATTCCAAATTTATTTAATGTGTATTGATGGAAAGCAAGTTTGGAAAGACATCAGCATTGGTAGCTGGTGTCAAATCTATACAGAACAGGTGACCATATAGCAATTACTGTTACAATCGCTAAGTTTCTGATGTCGCAAAATTTACCTATTAACATTGATTTCAAGAGGGCTATGAATTAACATTCTAAAACACATTCTACAGGGAACACAAGAAAGAGCCAACACCGCCCAAGAAGGCCATTGTTATGTAAGCGAAGTAAACTGTATGTAGAGAAGTTTACCATGAAACAATTTTGGTGAACACAAAGTTGAATAATGGTTAGCTTGTTTCTTTGTATCAATTTGGAACATTCCCTGTTAATAAACTATCTTGACCTTTGACCCCCAATGTCAAGGTCAGTTATGCAAGGAACATTTATAATGCTCCATTCCAGATAGCTTCTCTCAATATATCTTGATCCTGGATCCTTGGGAACTTAAAAAGATCTGAAAGGTTTGTTTATTGATATTGTAAATATTGACTTTTGACACCTGTCAGCACTCGAAAGTGGATCTGTGGATCTTGACACATTGTATTAAATAAATGATTCAAAGTTCTGAATATGTTTTCTTTCGGTATTAATATCTTTTTAGGTCACCTGAGACAAAGTCTCAAGTGTCCTATTGCGATCGCCTTTTGTCCGTCGTGGTCCGTCGTGCGTCCGTCAACAATTTACATTTTCGACTTCTTCTCCAAAACCACTGAACCAATTTCAATGAAATTTTGCAGGAACCTTCCATGGACAAAGGTCAACAAAAATAGTTGCCGGTTTAGTCCCAAGCCCCCAGGGGCCTGAGGGGCGGGGCCAAAAAGGGTCGAATTGACTGAAATTTCAAAAATCTTCTTCTCAAGAACCAGATATGGTAGAATCAAATATTCTTCATAGATGGAAGGGTCTTGAGGTGCTTTACCAAAATTTTGAATTTCTTGACCCTAGGGTCTCACGTTTTCCCCTGGGGAGGGGGTAAACTTTACCATAGTTTATATAGGAAAATCACAGTTTGGACCAACATTTGTTTAATTTCCATTGAAAGTCATTCAATTTAGGTTAGCATTATCGGTATTAGGTAGCAGTTTGATATTATGCACATATCAGCCCTGACTGACCCCCCGGGGCTGATGGGTGGGGGCAAAAAGGGTCGATTTGACTGAAATTTCAAAAATCTTCTTCTTTTTAGACCCAGATATGGTAGAATCAAATACTCTTCACAGATGGAAGGGTCTTAAGTTGCTTTACCAAAATTTTGAATTTCTTGACCCTAGGGTCTCACGTTTTCCCCTGGGGAGGGGGTAAACTTTACCATAGTTTATATAGGAAAATCACAGTTTGGACCAACATTTGTTTAATTTCCATTGGAAGTAATTCAATTTAGGTTAGCATTATCGGTATTAGGTAGCAGTTTGATATTATGCACATATCAGCCCTGACTGACCCCCCGGGGCTGATGGGTGGGGGCAAAAAGGGTCGATTTGACTGAAATTTCAAAAATCTTCTTCTTTTTAGACCCAGATATGGTAGAATCAAATATTCTTCATAGCTGGAAGGGTCTTAAGGTGCGTTACCAAAATTGTGAATTTCATGACCTTTATTATGGTTTATAATGGCAAATGATACTTTGAATATTACATGTTAAAAACTTGATTGGAATTATAACCTTGAGTTGACAGTTTGATACTTTGAAAATTTTGAGCCAGCCCTACCCACCTAAATCTGTATGCTAGATATTTAAAAAGGTGGTTTTATTGTTTTTTGTCACTTTGAATAATATTTATGTACATGTTAAAAACAAAAACAACTCTCTGTATAAATATATCAGGTGACCGTTAAGGCCCATGGGCCTCTTGTTTAATTTAAAGTAGGTCAAGGTCATGCTAGGTATCTAATGGTCAAATATCATGACACTACCATATTACCATATTGAACGCAACATTTTACGGTTATTCACATATCCAAGTTTCCAGACCATAAACTTGGTCACATAATGTGTGGGTATTTCAATTTTTTGACCCCTTTGACGTTAATTTTAGGTTAAGGTGATGATATTTTACAGCACTATCCACAGTTCCTATTGAGTAATTATCATGAACCTGTGTTTTCTGAACCTTTATAACTTAAATTGTTAAAGCGTTTTGCCCCCTTGTTGACATTTGACAGCAGTCGTTTGACATTTTACATAATATAAAGGGTAAAAAATATACATTGATCAATACAATGTTGAGGAATTTGCAGGAGCTGCCTTATCAGGCGTTAACTACTAATCCTATGCTAATATCACTGTGTGTATGCCTGCGTGTGTGCTAGAGATGTATTATTTACTATGTGAGGAAACTACAGACACTATCCCAGGTACATACTGGCCAACTATCACAACCTTATGCCTTATGTAACTTAAGAAGAATCTTAAAGGACTTATTACCCTTTGAACTCACACAGGCCAAAACGCAAGGTTGACCATAGACCATCATCCAGGGGTGCAGAGAGCGTAAGTGAGCAAAACCCCTGAAGTATCGAGGATGTTTGACCATAAGACAATACATTAATTTTCACTGCTGGTCTCCATTTAATACAAAAGTATCAAAAGTTCTTCAGAGAATGTTGTTTTTAACGCAACTTCCTGCGCCTACTGGCTAAATAACATGACTGTGTCCTACACAAATCAATCAGAAGAGTTTTAAATCTATTACACATTATGGGAAACAGTGTTTTATCGCTCAAGACATTAAGCAGGAAAATATATTTTTGTTTAGAAGTGTACAAAATCATTTGGTAGCCGGTAACAAACTATAGAGCTTGTGTAACGCTTGACCTTGGCCAACACACAGAGTTGACCTTTATCATTACCGCAAACAATAAAAGAAAATATTTCTACTGTTGGTCTCCATTCCACTCTGTTCTTGGCTCAGTAATAACTAGAATATGGAAGTACAGCCCCATCAATCAATAAGATCACGATTGGCTCTACATCTTTCACCTTACATTGTAACAAGCTAAGCACCTTATGCTTATTTAACAAGTGTGAATAATATAATACATGGTTCACTTTTCAATTGGAACTGTTGTCTGACTTGATTCAGTGATACTCTGGCTATGTCAGCTGTTGGTTGCTGAGGATCCATGTGTCAGAAATTAATATAACTATAACTGTACTTACCGAGTGTATGGTAGGGGAGATAACTGTGTAACACCCCAAAACAAGCCAACTATAACTGTACTTACCGAGTGTGTGGTAGGGGAGATAACTGTGTAACACCCCAAAACAAGCGAGCCTGTTGAATGTGGGTGATTTCTATGTGTGAAATTACTCGCACTCTAATCAAGCTACATGTATTCACAGATAATGCTAAATGATATATTTTAAAACTTCAAGAAGTGGAGGACAAAGCATCAACAGATCAAGAGTGGTTATAGTTGGGCTGATAAATGTTTAATGAAATTCAGCACTGACAAATGAAAACATTGAAATACCAATACCAAGACCTCTAACTAGGACAATAGGGAATATCACCTTTCCGTATAAAGAAGTACAATGGGGGGACAATCTTTCGAGTAGTAATAGATGATAGACTGAAATTTTTAGTCAATACAGCTAACAAATACTACGATGGGTGATTTTAAACATTTATTTTTAATGACCTAGCAATGCTCACGTACACCTGGAGTATGCCACAAGTCTGATCTGGCCTGAAATATAAACAGGAGGCCCAAAGGGGCTGCATTGCTCACCTGGTATTAATCTGACAATTGTAACCTTAAAAGTGGACTAAAATAAAGCCAAAATACTAAATATCACCACCCTATACCTGTTGTTTATTGAAAAGATGATTTTTTAAAGATTTATACACATTTGACCAGGTGTGACCTTGAAAGTGCCAAGGTCATTCACATGAACAATCTTGATAGTTTTTCATCTGAGCATGCTACTGGTCACCATCCTTTGCGTTTTGGTTATTCAGAAGAAGTCATTTCAAGTTTTTTTGACATATTTGACCCTTGTGACCTTAAGTATGGATGAAGGTCATCCATTTAAACAAACCTGGTGGCCTTTCATCCCAACATGTTACTAGCCAAATATCACTCTGAACATTTTGGTAATTCAGAAGTCATTTAAAGACAATCGACCCCTGTGTAAGACGGTCATTGCAGCATGCTGGTGTTCATGCATGTTGTAATGTCATAAATTATAGGCCGTGAAAGCGTCGCAGTACTTTCAGTACTTTGATGTAGCAACTTTCACTTTGTAGCATTTTGGTTCTTGCTGCGTGCGCATCTAGAATGTTCATCCGGTAATCAGAATCATCTGCAACTTGTAACAAGAGGTTGACGAAAAAGTCTGGTGAGAACGATTTTATTTTTGCACAACTGTGTTTTTCTTTAAATATTAACATCATAACCTGGTAATGGCACCATATATACCGTTCTTACAAAAGGGATTCTGGTAATAGCATCTATGTATGATGACTTCAGAAGACAAATGTAGGCCGTGGATACCGGTCGTTTCCGACTGTCTGACACCAGAGACGTATACGTATATATATTACAGAGATATCGCGAGTTACGCTTCACCAGCGCCATATTGGATATACGGTTCGCTGCATTCAATAATCCTGATGCCCTAGCGCCTGTTCAAACCATAATTATGCCATGAGGAAGCATCGAAAATCAACGTAATATAAACCCGTAGCTAGCTGAGATTTCCATGCGGTTTGGGAGTGCTACATTGAATGTAAATTTGAATGATTAAGTTTAGAAAACACCAAACATCGAAATATCTAGATTGCACATCGTGGCTGTGTTTACATACCGGGAATGATTCTGGCTTCAGGAGAACACAAACTCCGTTTTTGATCTTTTAATAGCTAGACTAATTCAAAGAAGTCTTTA